TCAGAGTCAGACGACGTGAGTGGTTACAAACGGACGATGAAAAGTTCGCCGGAGGAGGTGATCAATGCAAGTTACAGAAAGCTTTGAAGGAATGAAAATGGAGGTTTTTTGTAGAGAGAGAAAACTTTGAGAGAGTGGAGGAATGCAAAGTGAAGAGACGGAGAGAGGGAGAAGTTTTGTTAAAACGCGAAAAGACGGCAAACTATAAAATGATATACCTAGGACGACGTGTCTGTCAGGCGGCATGCATAGAAGCGACGCGACCTGATGGCGCGTATCAAGTACGAATCAATGAGAGAAGGACACATTGATGAAACGGCTGAGAAAATCGTGCGTGACAGCTCATGCGCAGATGGAACTCATGAAGTTCTTGATTTAATGAAGCAAGAACCTCGGCTAAAGGAACGGTCCTGGTTAAGGAACTTGAAGAACTTGGTTCTTGGTTCTTGGTCATTGATAAAGTAGACTGCAGAGTCTTGGTCATGTCAAGCTAACGTGTGATGATCTCGGTCATGAAGGATGGAGTAAGTCTTAGCCGACGTGCTACGTGGACAAACGATATAGGTTCCATCACCTCAGGATGCCGAGGTAATAGAACCTAGGGGGCAGTTGTGAGGATATATTTTGTAAATGATAACACGTGGCCAAGGTGACACCGGAGTGTCAGCCAAGGTGCCATGTGTCTTGGTCATATTGTCGAGGTGATCTCGGCTAAGCCGAAGTTATTTACCGAGATACCGAAATTCGAAATAAGCGGATAAGAGATAAGAGTCCTAGAATGGGAGAGGACCTCAGTCTGGATAAAGATAAAACTCTTAGGGAGTTTATCTCTATCTGGCTGGGAGTCCATTGAAGTTAGGCTTCTACAACGATCATGTTAGTACTGGCTATAAAAGTAAGGCACCCTCATGGGTCTAAGGTATATTTTTTGTATTCTGACTTGTGAATTAAGCACTATTTGCTATCTTTGAGAGATAACTGAGTACCGACTTGATCGTCGGAGTGTCCCCGGGTGGACGAACCACCACCGGAGTCTTATATATCTATGACAGGTTGTTCAGGTGTGATCTATTCTGCATGTGCTCTCCTACTGGGTTATTATTTAGCAGTATAGTCGAAAATCAGCACCCACACTACCTACAAACAAAACCATAAAAAAAATTTAAAAATAAATAAATAAGTTCAAAAAAATAGTGAGCAAGATACATGTTACCCCATTTGACCAAGTTTAAAGCCAAATGCTACGGTACAAATGGCACGTGCATCGAACCTCAAACGCGTCCGAAACTTGGCTCATATTATTGGCTTTAGAAAAATTGTTAAAGGACTGCTTATTGAATTCTTATTAATTTTAATATTTGTGCAAGAATATTGGAAAGCGTGGGATCAAATAATACAGAAGTTTCTAAGGACTTTTTAATAAATTTTCTGAGAATATATACAAAAATAAGTATAATTCTATTTTAATTATTTTGATATTATTTAAGTTAATGACAACAGAAAATAAGCTATTTTTTAGTATAAAAATGTTATAGAAATTAAAAAATATTACCGCAAATTTTTTTTTTACCAACAAACACTACAAGAAAACTGGGTATATGAGACGGAACTATTTGCGACGGCACACTTGCCGTCTCAAAAAGTCACTTTTTGCGACGGCAGATTTTTTTGTTTGTTTGTTTGATAAATCACACTTATCACCTTGAAAGCTTTCATCCGAATGTTACTTTAGTATCTTACCCTTTTTATTATAACAATTAAGTTCATAAATTTTATGTAGTCATCTTGTCGCTTGTCCTGAAATTTTTGGATGAAAATTGATATCGAGTATCAAGTGAGTATATTTTAAAAGTATTAAAATAAAATTAAAAATATTGTATAATATATTATATTTTTCATCGTATAACTTTTATTTGAATTTTATTTTAGCCTGTTATATTCTAATTTTCAATCAAATTTTAAATGGTGAGGTATTCGAACAACCAGATTAAAACATGAATTAAAATCTAATGACTAATTGTCACAATTAGAAGATAACGAATCATAATGAAATTTAAGTAAAAATTTAAAATAAAAAATGTAATTTACTTTTCTTTTTTTTTATAAATAAAATTTATTAAGTTATATAACATTACTTTTTCAACTTCTATTTCAAGGAATGGAGAATTGCGGCCACAAAAATTCCACAAACTTTCCACAACAGAACAGTTTCTTGGAAAAACAATTAATCATGTTCCGGCGATCCAAAGATGAACACGTGTAAAGTAGTGATTATTATTATTTTTTTATTATACTTTTTGAAGCACCTTTTTCAAGTTTTTCGCTATAAAGTGGACACGCCGTGATCCAATCACGGCGTTGAATTGAACTAGTCTAATATAATTCATATATATAATTAATAATTTATTGGTATTAGAATATAAATAGTAATAACATTATTCCTTCTAACTGTTTAGATGATAGTCAACAATTAAACAATTATTTTCTATCCAATAAATATAATATTTAGGCTTGGTTTGGCATAAAAATAAAAAGTTAAAAAGTCAAAAAGTCATTATCTTATTTAAGTCACATCATTTTATTTAAGTCACATCACCTCTCTACTATATCACTTCAAACCCAATCCATATTTCATAAAAAGTCAAAAAGTACACTTATTTAGTTTATCCCAAACAACCCCTTACATATTTAAAATTTAATTTTACTAAAAAAAAATGGGTTTTATATAGAGTTTGTTGGTGGGTTCGTTTTTTAAAATTTTATATGTCTATATAGATTTCATGATGAATTTTTGTTTATTGTTTCATTATTACGAAATGTCATATTGTTTTGTATGACCACTTTAATGAATCTAATGATTAGTTACTTGTTTGGAAATAATAATGAGAAAAAAAATGTTTAGGACTCAAAATTTTTTATTAAAATTTCTAACAAATATTGAGTGTAAGTTCCATACTATGTGAGTATTTGATAAAAAAAATTAATAAAATTTTTTGTATCCCTAGCATTGTTCAAAAAAAAAAATCTCATAATGATATTACTTTTTCAACTTCTACTTCAAAAAAAACTAAAATACTTGATTTGAAAAGTAAATTTTTTTTTAACCCAATTTTTAAAGATTTCATTCATTGAAGACCAAAAATAAATAAATAAATGAAGTAAACATAACCATCTGCTGTCGTTTTGTTCAATACTGTGGTTGACCTTTAAATTTGTTAATATTGATTAAATTTTTATTAATTGTGGGAACATATTTTCTGAATACCAACACGTGGCATGGTGACGCCGACGTGTCAGCCGAGGTGCCACGTGCCCTGGTAGTTAAGCCGAGGTAATCTCGGAGAAGCCGAGGTCATCTCCGAAGATGTCGGAGAGCAGTTTATGTGTTTTGGTGGGTTGAGTTTGTGGGGAATCTTGTATTTTATTTTCTGTTAAGTCCTTCTTAACTTTTTTTTGTTTTGGAAAAAAAAAAATCGTGAGGCCAAGGGGTTGGTTGTATGGTTGCGAGTAGCAGTGGTAGGGGTATTTCGTACTTTCCGAATCTCTCTTAGTGCATTTCATCTTCCTGTACCTTTAATTTCATGTTGATTAATGAAATTTTTCTTTGCCGATCAAAAAAAAAAAAAAATAGTTATATTTGATAAATATAATTTTTTTTATAAATGATCTTTTTTTTTTAAATTCTACAATATGAAAGGTTTAGATTAGTTATGACAATATTCTCCAATTAGCAAAGCCAATTGAGACAATTCTATTTCTGTTTATATACGGATATTGCTAAGAAGTATTTTTAAGGTACAAGAAAGACACACAAAAAAAAAAAAAAAGAACACGAGATAGTTTCACTTTATTTAATTTACTTTTTGTTTAAACCAATACACTTTATAATGAATAAAAAAAAAGAAGTTAATAATATAGGCCTTGTCTAGCAAAGGCTAAAATAGTTAATTTTAGGTTAAAATTTATAAAAAAAATAAAAATAATTAATAAAATAAAATATTAAATTCATAGGCTTGGTTTGGGAAGTAGGTTGGCTTTTTGGCTTTTTGGCTTTTTTGGCTATTTTAGCCTGGGCTAAAAAGCTTGGTTTGAGAAGGATTTTTTGGTTTTTTGGCTTTTTTGACTTTTTTTGTGAGAGAAGAATGTAATGATTATAGGTTGGATGTGATGTTTTGTTTGTTATGACTAAAATAGCCTATTTTGTTTTTTGTGGCTAAAATAACCAAAAAAACCTGAAAACCAACTTGCCAAACAGAGGCATAATCATTTTATTTTTCCAAACATGTCATATCATCACCTACCCACGTTACCTCAGTTTTACAGATGCATGGGGGGTAATTTTATGAACGTCAACGTGAGCATAGGTTTGAAGTTAACATCACATCCCTCTCTCTCTCCTACATGGAAGTTGGAAGAAGTAGTGGTAGAAGTAACGCGGAACAAGGTTTGAACTTTGAAGATTCAGGGTCTCCTTCTCTGACTATTTTCCCTTCCTATTTTTCGTTTCCATTTGATGATGAAAAGGTAGAGAGAGAGGCTCAACAACTTAGAGAGAGAAAGAGATCTATGAATTGGCCAACAAAATTTTTTTTTTTCTTTTTTTTGTTGCCCCTTCTCAACATTCACAACTATATTTGACTGTCTATGAATATTTTAGCACAATAAAATAAATAAATAAATAAAATAAAAGATAAGAGAATTTGAAAAGTGTCGGTTGTGCCCTTTGATGGGACTCAATTTAACTCTGAATTATTTATTTTTGTAAGATTTAATAACCAAATTCAAGATGAGATTCAAGCATGGATTAAAACACTATTCATCAGCAGGATTTGTTGAGGTTGAATTGGTCAGCAATTAGACTTCCTCACTAGATAGAAAGACCATAGACCAGTCTTATTTGGAAAAAGCAAGCTCAAATATTTCCCAGTCAAACTTCTCTCTCTTCTTCTCCTATTCTCCCTGTCTTCAAAAACAACCCAACCCACCCTTATAAGTAAATCAAGACTCTCCAACCTCTCTATTCCTCAACTTTTGCACCTTTGCTCATTCTCTCCTCTTAACCATTCCGAGACAACAACAAAACTCACCACAACACCAAGTTCCAAATTTTGCTCCTTTTTTATTTATTTATTTTGTTTTTTTATGATCATTTTCCTCCCAAATTTTGTTTTTTTCTTAGAACCCACTTGCTCACTTTAACCTATTTTCACTTGTGTAATCTTGGCATAGACTTGTGTTAATGGAAAACTCACCAGGTTGGGAGCAAAAGACACTGATAAATGAGCTAGCACGAGGAAAAGAGCTAGCTAAGCAGCTCCAAAACAATCTGACATCTTCATCGCATGAAACGTGCGAATTGTTAATTCACAATATTTTGAACTCGTACGACAAGGCGCTCTCAATGCTGAAATGGAATGGATCAGTGGCTGGAGAACCACAGCTCACCGGAGCTGCAATGGGGATAACGTCTGAATCCCCGTCCCTCTGTGGAAGTCCCCATAGCGAAGACTCTGACCGGGATCTCAAGGATCATGAGCACAAAGATGGCTCTAGGAAGAGGTGAATTATAGCTATGAGCTCTACCTTCTTGTGCTATGTTTGTATTTTGGTTGTGCCATATAATCCTTATAAGATGCTTCTTTTTTTTCGATTCATTTTTCTCAATTTTTTTTAACACTTTTTAAGTTTGTCTAGACTAATAAACTATGAAAATAAATTAATTTTAAAATTTTAAAAAAACTACTTACTGAAATAAAAATAAGGCAACTTTTTCCTAAAAGACTATAATAATTATAGCTTATTTTGTCTTTTTAAAAATTATAGGATCGTTTTGTTTAGGAAAATCTAAAATCTAAAAAAAAGAAAAAAAAAATCATTAGAAACAAAATTAAAAATTTTAAAAATATCCTAATTTATAAGCTGCAACCAATTTATAAGTATGGGTTGTTTGGATTTTTGATGTTGCAGGAAGAGTACGCCGCGGTGGACACAACAAGTGCAAGTTTGCCCCGGGACAGGACTTGAAGGACCACTTGATGATGGCTATAGTTGGAGAAAATATGGACAGAAAGACATTCTTGGAGCCAAATATCCAAGGTATTGGGAGAGCAAACCCTTTATATGATTACTCTTTTGATGACATAATTGAATATTGAAAATGCAAGTTGGTCTTTGATACGCATGTATGCATCAGAGCCTGACATATAATGCAATTATAAATCACATTTAATTGTTATCAATCATGTTGAATTTGTAACAAACTTTTAACTTGACAAAATCAGCTGCATTATATTACTTGTAGTTTCACTATTTTATATGAATTGTGAAGTTGTAACATGTTACAAACAACATCTTTTTACACACAAACAAGAATGTCCTTTTCTCATTCCCATTTCATGTGAAAGTAAAATTACCCTTTTTGTCAGTACTGTGTCATGTCCTAGGTTATGAATGTTCTAGTCTCTTCTTTTTTTAGCTGAAATGGTCAAATTTTCACATAAAAAAGGCAGCAATGCTACAGACTCCCAGTTGGGGTGACCCCCAGTGACCCCCAGTGCCACGTGTCGGCCTGGGGTTGGTTGAAAACTCAACAAACAAGAATGTCCTTTTCTCATTCCCATTTCATGTGAAAGTAAAATTACCCTTTTTGTCAGTACTGTGTCATGTCCTAGGTTATGAATGTTCTAGTCTCTTCTTTTTTTTTTAGCTGAAATGGTCAAATTTTCACATTAAAAAGGATAGTACATGTTTAACATGCTCAATGGGAAAAGTCAATGCCTACCTACAATTAAATGATGATGAGAGAAGCTGAATTTCCATGGACACACAGGAAAATTATCCAGTGTGCATGGCACCACATAGCACATGTACGGATCAATCACTACCCGTCTTTGTTGGGCACCGAATAACCTCTTGGAGGGCACAATGTCAAACATTAGCCACTTGTTTTACGATTTTGGATTTATTTGTTTAAATTGAAAGTTGATAATTTATAAATAAAATTTATAACTATTTCTCCTCCAATTTTAAAATAATTATTAGTAATTTTAATTTAAGCTATTTTATGGTAGAAATTGTAAACATAAACTATATTAAAGAGGTGATATAGAATTCCAAAATTATTATAAAAGAGAAAAAAAAACAAAACAAAAAAAACACTATTCATGCAGATTTTGCCACTAGAATAATGTGACAATATGACATTTTCAAGTTTTCTGTAATTTTTTGTGGGTAACAATTTCTATTCTTCATGTTTTATCTAAAGAATAGTTGATGGTTTCAATTTTGCAGAGGTTATTACAGATGCACTCATAGAAATGTCCAGGGCTGTTTGGCAACAAAGCAAGTCCAAAGATCAGACGAAGACCCAACAATTTTTGAAATCACTTACAGAGGAAGACACACCTGCACTCCTCAACCACCACCACCACCGGAAAAACAAGAACAACCACCAAACACAACCTTAGACAACCCACCACCACCACCACCACAACAACAACAACAATCACTTGAAACACTCTTGAACTTCCAAACAGGCCTCAAAGTCATCACTGAAGATTTAGAAACTCCCAACAACAACCAAACACTCCCTTTCTTCTACTTCCCTTCAACTTCCCAAGAAAACTGTAATGTTCATCTTCACTCTCCTTCTATGGGTAACTTCTCTGACCCTTCTTTCATCTCTCCGGCAACGTCGGGAACGAGCTATTTCTCGTTGTCGCCATCGCCAACTGGGACCGGTATGGCTGGCTTTGGAGGGAACCAAAGTTTGGACGGTTCAGATCAATCTGAGCTTGCTAAGATTGTTGCAGCAGCAGCAGCAGTTACTTCTTCAGCCGCTACCTCTCCAACTGCTGGTTTGGATTTTCCATTTGGTTCCATGGATCAGTTTGAACCAAGCTTTTCTTTTGACAATAATCCCGGATTCATTAACTAAATTTTGTTTTTTCAGGGTTAAATAGAATTCCAGTCTTGGTCTCATCTCAACGTATGCGTTTTGTTTTATTTTGATTACCGATATTTTAATTGGATAGATTTGATTCCAACTTATTTTATTTGTGTTTAAATAGTCTCCTGTGCTATTTTCATCTAAATTTTATGTAAAATAAAATACTTCTTATTCTATTATAAAATTTGGATGAAACATTACTGGGACCATCTAAACACAAATTAAATAAATTGAGAACCGAATTATACAATTGATATTGGGAACCTAGATGACATAGAGCGTATATTTTGAGAGCCTTTAATGTATTTAAGCCAAAAAAACAAACAAACAAACAAACAAAAAAGAAAAGAAAAAGACAGAGAACGCATATTGAAGATAATATGTGTAACAATTTTCTAAATTCCTTTTTGACCTTAGTCTGTTTTTCTTTTTTCTTTTTGACCAAACTAAATACCTTTGTAATAGCATTTTGTGTGTCTTTTGATTCTGTGTAAAAGACTAGTAGGTTGTATGCAATGTCCTAGATATCTATCAATCCGATGCATAATTGTTCTAAACTTTGATTCAGAAAATATTCCAATTTCATAATTGAATATTGACTTCTTCTTCTTTTTTTTCTTCTTTTTTTTTTCTTCTTTTTTTTTTTTTTTCATTATTGATTACGTTTGTTTTGACGTTATATTAAAAAATATTTTTCATGTAAAACCAAAAATATATATATATATATATATATGTATATATTTTCTGACATTTGGTTGACAGAACAAAATTTTTAATTGCCTCCATTATGCCATATCAAACAATTTGTAAGCTTGAGGATTAAAAAGATAAAATCTGCTAAAAGGGTCAAGAGTCGAGCATGCTGAGAGCTTTCCCAAAATTTACTTATGAAAATTTTTATTGGTAAGTCATTTTTGAGACTATGATTGAAAATTTAAAAAAACTATTTTACTTACTTTTTATTTAAACAAATAAAAAAAAAATTTACATCCAAACAAACAAAGTTTATATCACTTGCACTTCACTAACTCAACTAATGGGCCATAATAAGTGGGTATAGGAGTGAAATTTCATAGCCCATTTCAATTTCTCGAAGAGGAAGACTCATCAATCGTTTATGGACTATGACAAGTAGAATCCAATTAGACTGAAATGGACAAACAATTTATGGGTTAAGGCCCATATGCCACTACTCTTGTAGCAGGCCTGCTTGTGCCGCACTACTAATTTTGTTTGGATGAAAAATGAGGAAAAGAAAAAAAGTTTAAAAAATTAAATTACTAGTAATTATTATTTGTCTTTATGAATAATCGAACAAAAAGTTAATTTTTTGAATTTATTTATATAATATAGTAAATGATATCGCATCGCCATTTTTTTCTTGGCAATTATAATTTCTTTGATTATAAAATTAAATACAATAAAATCTCCAAATTTTGGCCTTTAAACACACATCAAAACCATTCTCTCCCTCTCTCCCTCTCTATGTTGTACTCTTTTTTCTTCTGAGTAGGATTAATTAAGACTGATTTTTGCATCTCACCACAAAAAGGTGATAAAAATTATAAATATTAATAATTATAATCATAATTTTTTTTATAATATATAATAATTTTTAAATATTACCACTTAATGGTAATTTTTTCTTATTTTTACATTCAGACTTCGTTTGACAACACATGTTTGTAGTTAAAATATACAAAAAATTACTATAAATTATTATATCTCTCTATACTTTTTGTATGCTTTTTATTTATTTATTATTATTTATAAAAAGTAAAAAAAAAACTAAAATATTCAATTATGAAATGGGGCAAGTGTCTTTATTTTCAACTCAACAAAAATGAACAGAGCCTAACCATTCACCCAAATGGTAGGCTGGAAAATGCTACAACTGGACTAACTAGGCAGTGGTACATGCTGAAAATGAGTAACCCCAAGTAGGTATCTAAGACCATATATGCTCGGATCCCAAACAAAAATTGAATAGGTTCATAGCATTTCTGAATCCATTTGTTAGCCCAATTAGTAGTCCTACCAACCCATAAAATTTATCCTTTTGGTATGTACACAAAAAATTAAAATACAGCCCTCTTTAAAATTTATAAAAAAAAAAAAAAAAGAAAAGAAAAGGACAAAGCATAGGCTTCTCTTCAAATCATTATTTAAATTGGAGGGTGATGTTTGAATTTGTAGAGCTCACCATGAGTTTTGTTTTAATAATTTTAACTGTTCATTTTGTCGTTCTTGTGTGTATATTATTTCAATAAAAAAAATTATATCGATCTGATATTTGTAATCTAATCATTTTATGGCATTTGTACCAAAAAAATAAAATAAAAATGGATGTCTACTTCAAAAACATATTGACCGCTAATTTTTTGGAGATAACTCAATAAAATGAAAGGGTTACGAATATCAGATCAACTTACTTTTTTATGAATAATATATGCATAAGGCCCAATAAAATGAACGATTTGGATCATTGAAACTAAACTCATAGTAGACCTTATGGGCCTGAATAGCACTCTCCAGTTCAGTTAGCTCAACCGAAAAAGAAAATGCATGGTTAAACACATGTTAAGTATGCTTATAATAATTGTACATTATTGACTACACTCATTTTCATGAAATTTGTATAATATTTTTAAATTTCTTAACATGTTCTTAAAGGCACGTATTAAAAAAATATGTATAAAAAAATAAAAAATAAAAAATTGCTTCTAGTTTGTATTGAATGTAATCTTCGTTTTTATTCTCCTAATACATGGAGCCATTTGCCTTAAAAGACATTGATCATATAAATGATCAAATTTGAAACCATTTGGACCACTTAATTGATACAATATTGAATACCATTAGCATAAGTCTTTAAAGAGGCTAATGGTCTTTTAGAGCAATATTTAATACCATGCCGACATAAATTTTCATTTAAAAAAAAAAAAAAAACAATACTGAATACCGTTCATATTGTGTCATTTATTCATTTATCTTAACATAAAATCATTAAATCTTACTATTTTAACTAGTAAAACATTAGTTGGGATATCACATAAATTTACCCAAAAGACTTTATTATAAATTTTCCCTCGTTGGGCGATATATAGACATCATAAAACTGCATGTTAAATTAGGATGGTTATTTTCTCCCGTCTCATTCCGCCCCAATATCTCTTGCTCCATCTCGCTTGGGTTTTTCCCCTTTCATTGAGGAAGTGAGGTGGGGATGAATTTTGCTTCCCCCATTCCATTCTATCTAAACCCCACCTCGATTTTATATTTTTTTTAAATATATTTATGTGTATATTGTAGATACCTCATTTTTGACCGACCTTAAGACTCAGACGTCACCAACTGAGCGCTCGGTGATGTTGCATATTGTGCTCGTTTTGAGGTTGCGGAGTCTCGGCTGCGAGTCTTGCCTCCGGACTTCGGAGCTCTTTTATGCTTTGCCTCGATTTGCGAACCAGGTCCTGTTTTCTCTGTTTTCTCTTCCCGAAGGGAGGGAGAGGTCTCATAGACCATCTCCCAGTGGCTGTAGGCTACATTTCGTGGTCGTAGGCCATTTTTCCCGTTTGGAGCCCAGTTTCCGGTTTTCGGAGCCGTCGGCCGTGTGCCTCGGTTCGGGACCGCTTAACTACCTCCGTTTGCTTCAGTTTTTGGCACACACCTTGCTTCCTCCCTTTTGAGGGACACTGTGGCCCGGGAGACCACCTTCGTGGTCATATGCCACTTCCGGGGCCTAACAGCCTGTTTTCGGGGCCCCAAATCGCGCGTTTTGGCCCTCGAACCTTCGTTTTGCATCCATTTTGGTTCATTTTTGGTAGAGACCCTATTTTCATTGTTAGGAAGATGGTAGAATGGTGAGAGGCCACATTTTTCCCCGAAAAACCAGTTTTCTCATTTTCTCTCTCCAAAAGTCGATTTTTCTGACAGAAAGTTGGTTTTTCTCACTTTTGAGCCACAATTTCCGATTTTTCACACCATCATTGTGTTGTGATCATCTAGGAGGCCACCAATATGGGTAGGCCGACCAGTAATTCTTCTTGACCCTTTTGAACCCCTCTAAAAAGCTGGTTTTTCTCTCTCCTAGGTCACATTTTCTGATTTTTCACCACAGAGCTGTATTCTACTCATCTGGGAGGCCACCTTTCTGGGGAGGCCGACCAGCTTTTTTGCTTGACCCTTTTGACCCCTGGTCGGCCGACCATGGGGAGTGGCCGGCTGGCCACCTTAGCTGGTCGGCCAGCTTTCTATTTTTTGCTCTTCTCAAGTGCAACACCGCTGTGCCAGCTGTGAAGCATTTGACCCACTGTCCGAGGGTTTTGTCCTTGTTTTGGTCCTTAAAAGGGGGTTTTGACCCCTTTGCTTGGTTGGTAGGAGGAGTTTGACCCTTTTGGTCAAGTTTCTTGAAGAAGCTTAACCCTTTTGGTCTAGCTTCCTCAAGAAGCTTGACCCCTTTGGTCAAGCTTCTTTTAGAAGCTTTGAACCTCCCTCTTGGCTTCTCCAAGAAGCCTTACTTCTCTCCCTCTATATAACCAACCCTCCATCTCATTTTGCAAGGGTTAGACATTTGGTTAAGGCATACACACTCCATCATTCATAGCCTTCTTCTTCAAACTCCAAACCCTAATATTCTTGGCCATTTTACACTACACCCCATAGCCTACCACCCCCACCATCCATTCCAGCATCTTTAAGGTCATTTGCAGAGCTTGAGGAGTCACATTCTTGGTCCAGAAGTTGCTGAGGATCGGCTCTACAAGGGTAAGTCTTCATTTACCCATTTTTTGCACTATTTTGCTCTATACTTTAGCTCCATTTGCAAGCATTTTCGAGCCTTGGTGTAAACTGAAAATAGTCTTATTTTGAACTCCTCTTCATGTTTAATTAAGGATACTTTTCTGTTTGAGGCCTCTTACACCCTTGTATGCTTTATCTCTCTTTTAGGGCTTATTTTGCATGATATATTAGCCTTATTTGTGAGCATTTTTGGACCTCGGCCTAAACTGAAGAAAGTCTTGTTTTGACCTCCTCTTTAAGTTTGATTGAGGTCACTTTTCTGTTTGGAGTCATCTTCTTCCTTGCATTCTTCACTTCCTCATGCTTTGAGCCCTGCATTTGAGCATTTGCATTGGTCTTGTTTTGGCATCTTGGCCACTGAAATACAGTGGATTTTTAGTGGCCTTGATGTGTCTTTGAGCTCCAAAATCATAGAGGAGTGACCCTTTCACCCCTCATTCTCTTTACTAGCATGGTTGGCCTTCCAAAGGGACTCTATTTTTCATGCATTGAAGTCATGTTTCAGGCCTTATTCTGAGAGTTTTAAGGT